TGGGAATGCACGGAGGGCTGGCGAGTCAAGGCTCGTATCTTCATGGACACTGCATAAGAGAGCTGCGTCACAGGCCGCCACAGACAATGGAAAGGAAACGCTTGGATGGATTGTGCTTGTGAATTGTGGTTGTGATTCTTTGCTGGTGAGGTTTTGACAGTGGCCTTAATCAATGAATTCGGGGGTTCTTTGTGGTGGAATTATTGCGCTAGTGAAACTGGAGGTCGGCCTCGTTTATTAGGTTCCGCGGTCTTCAATTGTTTCATATTGTATTTGAAGCTCGAGCTGCTACAACTTCTTGTGCTCCAAGGTAAGGAGGTCACGGTACTGGATTCATGGTTTTCGTTTTTCACCTCAGGTTCAAATGGCGAATACTCTCTCCGTCCCCGGCGGAGGTGCTCGGCCCGTTTATTAGATTTCGTCTTCGAGCCTTCCACCCCAGCTTCAATATTTCCAAGGTCTCGTGGATTTCGACATCCTTCGTCAGAAATTGGTTCCCGGTTGTTGACTGTCAAAACCCAGGCTTCGTTTTGCCCGCCAGTTCCCGCAGTCTGCAAGATTATCAGTGCACCACAGATTTGTCATCTACGCGGAAGGCGATGCCGGATCTTGATGAGGACGAGGGATCGGCCATACCCTGTTTTTCGTATATATTTCTGTCTGCAGAATCAAGAAAAAAAATTGTATGGCCCACACGCTGGCGCAGGTAGAGGATGCTATTGCGTAGGGTCTTTACAGAGGCTTTGGTGTAGTAAGTGCGGACCAACCGGTCCAGCGCACCAAAAACCCTCCGCCACCCAGGAACTTGACACGCCAGCCGGCCCTTTCAAGAAGAAAAAAAGAAAGAAGAAAGAAGAAAAGAAGGAAGGAAGGAAGAAGGAAGAAGGAAGGAAGAAGGAAGGAAGAAGGAAGGAAGAAGGAAGGAAGAAGGAAGATAAAGAGAAGGAAGGAAGGAAAAAAGAAGAAAGAAAAAAGGAAGAAAGGAAGGAGGAAATGAACGAAGAAATGAACGAATCGAAAGATGAATAAATGAATAGATTAACTAATGAAAAAATGAATGAATAAACGAACAAACAAATAAATAGATAATAAATATTAAATAATAAATAATATTAATAAATAACAAATAATATTAATAAATAACAAATAACAAATAACAAATAACAAATAACAAATAACAAATAACAAATAACAAATAACAAATAACAAATAACAAATAACAAATAACAAACCTATCAACAAAAAACCACCCGTCAGCAACGTCACGCTGCGACAGGCTTGGCACCAGCCGTGCGGGCTAATTTGAATGCGGTCATTCATGAAGTTGCAAACGTGGACAGCATGCGCCGGTCTTTTGAGAATACCCCGAAGATCCACGCAGTGGCCCCGCGCCGCGGCGGCGGTCAAATCCCAGCCAGAAAAGCCGCCACTCCAAAACGCTTTTGGGAACTTGGCTAGTGGGGCCGGGGCGCCCGACTGCAATTTGCCGTGCATGGGGCCTCTCCGCACTGGGCAGGACGTGGCCGCGGCGAGCAGAACAGGCCTGGCGCAGGCCCTGCAAATGCCTAAAAGACGGGGCCACCACCAAACACAGCAGCCAGGCCTCTTGGGCCGGCGAGACTTGCAAAAAAAAAAAACGCTGCCGCAGGGCGGGGCCGCCCAGCATGGCACAGCCACGATTGGCGGGCACGCGGCCGGACGGGGCCTGCCGTGCCGAGATCCACTGATTTCCGTGAATTGGCAGATCCGGCACAGGGCTCCCACGCGGCGCCACCGGGGAGGCGCCGGCCCCGGCCAAGTACAGCCAGGCAGCCGAGCCCACACCAAACCCGCCAACCCCAAAATAAACCAACCCAAAAAACCAACCAAAAAGATGAACCAACCCGAAAAATAAACCCAAAAAATAAACCAGCCCAACCAATCAAACCAAACCAATCAAACCAAACCAAACAAACCAAACCAAACAAACCAAACAAACCAAACAACAACACCCCAGAAGCCCGCCGCCGCGACACGTGACCCCGCGCGGCCCGGTGCACGGGTGTCCGGCCCGCCACGGATGATGAGGCTCAGCCCTAAACTCCCTGCGCTGACCCACCATCGTGCTTTCTGCTGCCCGCCCCCTCTCCGCGGGAACCTCACGTCTTGCCCCTGCGCCCTTATATCCCAGCCGTGTGCCCCCCGTGTCGCCGCCGCCCGTTTCCTGGACCCAAATCGGCCCGCTACCCATGGACCTGGACTTCCCCACCTCGGCGTCCACGGACGTCGTCTCCAGAGACCCCAAGCCCGACAACATCTCGTCCAAAAGCAGCGGCAACGCCGCGCGGGGCTCGCCGCCGCCGCCCGCCAAAAGCAGCTACTCCATGGACGACTACAACGCCGCGCAGGCGCCGACGTGGCGCCAGAAAACACAGCACTTCTTCTTCCGCCGCGGGCTTGCCGCCCGGCCGCCCTACTTGCAGCACATCTACGACCGCATGCCACGGCGCATCTACGTGAACCACGAGTTGCCCGCGGCCATGCGCGAGCCGCACTCCGGCGCGCCGGTGCTCGCGTACCCGCGCAACAAGATCCGCACCACCAAGTACACGCCGTTGCTGTTCATCCCCAAGGACCTCCTCTACCAGTTCCGCAAGGTGGCCAACACGTACTTCTTGATGTTGGTGATCCTCGGCGCGTTCCAGGTGTTCGGCGTGGCCAGCCCGGGGCTCGCCGCCGTGCCGTTGATCGTCATCGTGTGCATCACCGCGGCCCGCGACGCCTTCGAGGACTACAAGCGCGGCGCCAGCGACACGGAGCTCAACAACACGCCCATCCACCTCTTGCTGGGCGTCGCCAACGCCAACGTGCAAACGGGCGCCGTGGGCGCGTGGCGCCGCCTCAAGAAGCGCTCGTCGCGCGCCACCAGGGCGGTCTTCGGCATGTTCCGCAAGACCGGCCTCTTGTTCGCCAGCCGCGCCAAGCGCGCCCAGGCCGCGCGCCAGGCCGCGGAGGAGAACGACCTCGCGTTGCGCCGCGTCTCCACGGTGGTGTCGGACTTCTCGCTCGCGGAGGGCCGCCCGTCGATGGCGCTGAAAGGCCCCCGCAAGCTGCTCCAGCTGCACGCGTCCCGCGCGCCGCCCGACAGCTTGGTCAGCCCGGACGTGCAGCGCGCGCAGCGCCACGGCGGCCTGTGCGCGGTGTTCAAGAACCGCAAGTGGAAGGACGTCAACGTGGGCGACTTCATCCGCGTGCGGGCCAACGAGGAGGTGCCCGCGGACATGGTGGTGGTGTCCACGTCGGACGCGGAGGGCAGCTGCTTCGTCGAGACCAAGAACTTGGACGGCGAGACCAACTTGAAGAACAAGGCGTCGTTGGCGTGCGGCGCGTCGTTGCGCCACGCGCGCGAGCTCGCCGCCACCAGGTTCTGGCTCGAGTGCGACGCGCCCAACCCGCTCCTCTACTCGTTCAAGGGCACCATCCACTACGAGCACTTCGACCGGGACGGCCGCTTGGTCGACGCGGACGAGCGCGAGCCCATCACCAACGACAACGTGCTTCTCCGCGGCTCCACCTTGCGGAACACCAAGTGGGTCGTCGGCGTGGTGGTGTACACGGGCTTGGAGTCCAAGATCATGTTGAACAGCGGCATCACGCCGGAGAAGACCTCCAAGATCTCGCGCGAGCTCAACTTCTCCGTGATCATCAACTTCGTGGTGTTGCTCGTGATCTGCTTCATCTCCGGCCTCATCAACGGCTTGTTCTACGACCGCCAGGACACCTCCCGCATCTACTTCGAGTACGCGGCCTACGCGAGCACGTCCGCCGGGAACGGCGTTTTGTCCTTCTTCGTGGCGCTCATCATCTACCAGTCCTTGGTGCCCATCTCCTTGTACATCTCCATCGAGATCATCAAGTCCGCGCAGGCCTTCTTCATCTACGCGGACGTCAAGATGTACTACGAGCGCTTGAACTTCCCCTGCACCCCCAAGTCCTGGAGCATCTCCGACGACTTGGGCCAGATCGAGTACATCTTCAGCGACAAGACCGGCACCTTGACCCAGAACGTCATGGAGTTCAAGAAGTGCACCATCGACGGCAAATCCTACGGCTTGGCCTACACCGAGGCAAAGCAGGGCATGGACAAGAGAAACGGCGTGGACATCCTCAAGGAGTCCGAGCGCTGGAACTCCGCCATCGCAGAGGACAAACTGCAGATGGTGCAGAACATCCGCGCTTACACCAACAATGACCAGTTCAAGGAGGACGCCTTGACCTTTGTCTCCAACGATTACTTGATGGACACCATCTTGCCCGAGACCATGGACAAGGCCCAGAAGAAAGCCAACGAGGACTTCATGTTCGCCTTGGCGTTGTGCCACACCGTGGTCACTGAGGATAGTGAGACGGACCCCGGCTTTAGAGACTTCAAGGCTGAGTCCCCGGACGAAGCGGCTTTGGTGGCCGTGGCAAGAGATCTCGGCATAGTCTTCCGCGAGCGCTTGAGAAAGACTCTTGTCCTCGAGATTTATGGAAGACAGCGCAAATATGAGTTGCTTCACATCATTCCGTTCACTTCCGCAAGAAAGAGAATGACCTGTGTTCTCAAGGACGAGGATGGGAAGGTGTTCATGTACACCAAGGGTGCAGACAACGTCATCTACCAAAGACTCAGCTCCCTGACTTCAGACAAGATGTTGAAGAAGACTGCGTTGCACTTGGAGGATTTTGCCAAAGAAGGCTTGAGAACTCTCTGTATTGCTTCAAAGTCTTTGGACGAACACCTCTTCAATCAATGGTACGCCAGATTCAAGGAAGCCAATGCCTCGATCGATGACTCTAAGGATGTCATCATCGATGAGTTGAACGAGGAATTGGAGCGCGATCTCATTTTGCTCGGCGGAACTGCTATCGAGGACCGTCTTCAACAGGGTGTGCCCGACTCCATTTCTATTCTAAGCAATGCAGGCCTTAAGCTTTGGGTTTTGACTGGAGACAGAATCGAGACCGCTATCAATATTGGATTCTCGTGCAATTTGTTGGGCAATGACATGAAATTGCTCGTTGTGCGGCCCGAGAATGATCAGTCAGACATTCATTATATCGACGACCTCATCACTGGTTACTTGCAGGAGGATTTTGGAATCGCAGTGTCTTCGCCGGAAGAAATCCAGTCTGCTATCAAGAGTGCCAAGGCCGACCATTCCATCCCAACATCCAACACGGCCTTGATCATTGACGGTGCTGCATTGACCTTGGTTTTCAATGAAAACGAGGCCTTGAGACAAAAGTTTCTCCTTTTGGGAAAACAATGCAAATCAGTAATTTGTTGCCGTGTTTCTCCCTCACAAAAGGCTGAGGTCGTGCAGGTGGTGAAGAACAATCTCCAAGTCATGACTTTAGCTATCGGAGACGGAGCCAATGACGTGGCCATGATTCAGGCCGCAAATGTGGGTGTGGGAATTGCTGGAGAAGAGGGCAGACAAGCAGTGATGTCCTCGGACTACGCCATTGGTCAATTCCGCTTCCTCACGCGTTTGCTTTTGGTGCATGGAAGATGGTCGTATAAAAGATTGGCAGAAATGGTTCCATGCTTTTTCTACAAGAATGTGGTGTTCACGTTCACCTGTTTCTGGTACGGCATCTACACCAACTTTGACGGCTCTTACCTTTACGAGTACACCTTTTTGATGTTTTACAATTTGGCTTTTACATCTTTGCCAGTTATCATTCTCGCAGTGTTTGACCAGGATGTGTCAGATTCCGTGTCTTTGGTGGTTCCGCAGTTGTACAGGTCGGGCATTTTGGGAGAAGACTGGTCCCAATTCAAGTTTGTGTGGTATATGATTGACGGACTCTACCAGTCAGTCATTGCGTATTTTTTCCCTTACTTGATGTATTACATCACCTTCCAAAACCACGAGGGCTTGCCTGTGGATCACAGATTCTGGATCGGTGTGTTGGTTTGTGCAATCTCTGTGGCTGCCTGTAATATCTATATCTTATTGCAGCAACGAAGATGGGATTGGCTAACGTTGTTGATCAATACTTTGTCGACGTTGGTGGTCTTTTTCTGGACTGGAGTGTGGGGTGCTCGTCCATGGGTCGGTGAGTTTTATGCTGCCGCACCTCAGCTTTTTGGCACGTTGGGCTTCTGGTGTTGTTTCTTCGTGGGGACTGTTATTTGTGTCTTGCCCCGCTTCGTTTATGATTTCTTCAAGAGAAACTTCCACCCAAGAGACATCGATATTATCAGAGAGAGGGCTGCCGTGGGTGATTACAAAGATTACCCAAGCGGATATGACCCTACGAATATTGAGGATATCGAAAGGCACAGACTCCTTCAGCGACTCAATGAGGGAGACACAGAATTATTAGAGAAGATAGAACGTGCCGTGGATCCCGAGACAAAATCGGAGCACTCTAAAGAAGATCACACGATTGCGCGGGCGTTCAAGTCGATAAAGAGGAAAACGACGATTTCGAGATCGAGGAAGGGCACGGTGAGCAACCAGGCCAAGTATAACAAGGAGCTCTTGGATAGACCTATTAACTTGAGTCAGTTGAGGATGGAGATGATCCGCCGAGGCGAGTACAAAACAGGAGGCCGGAACTCGCTTGAGAGAATCACCACTACACACGGGCTTCCCGGGCTCACGCAGGCTGAGACGCTCATGTCGTACCACACGAGAAACAGCATCAACTTTGAGCGATAAGCGTGGCAGTTGTATGAATGATCGTATTTAGAGGTATTGGGGCAAAGCTGCAGCGAGGTTTCGAGAATTGTTTGAGAACCTCGAGGGCCCTTTTTTTATTAGAGCATGTTCAGGGGTGGTCTTGAGAAGGGGAAATGGAAAATTACTCCGTCCATTGCCCGCGTTAAACTTTTTGACACCCATTTAATTTGATCAATGCCATCAAGACACCATTTGAGGTGCACTGCGCCTTTGGCTATATGGGGCCTGCTCCACATACCATGCATTTGTATGTAAGTAATAGACTTTTTGAGTTAAGAATCTATTGATGGTGCTGCTTTTGGTTCATCTGGAGAATGAATTCGTCTTCTAACAAATTCTTGTCCAAGCGAAGAAACTCGACGAAAACGATAGACGGGTTATTTCAAAATATTTTGCAACACCTCAAAGCCGGCCATTTGGTCAAATGCAATTTTATGAGCTGTGTCCCCAGTATTCGTTTTCAAAAGTTGTGGAGCTCATCTTAATAGTCAATGAAGAGCTTTCAGGTGGCCTTCTGGATTGTGGTTTTGAAATGACTTCTTTTCTTATCTAGCATTTCATATTTTACAAACTAAACTCCAGAATGCAGCACCATGATGCTATAAGTCACAAGACTTTTGATGCTTCGTGGCGTAACCTATTACGTTGTTCAATCTTCATGCCCGAATAGTACCTTGCGTGGATAGTCGTAAAGACTTGAGAAAGGAGTTTATTGGTTGTATTGATATTTCTCGTATAGTAAAACGAGCATGATTGCAGAAATTTGAGCCTTAGCTACCCCAAACAAGAGAATATTTCCAAAATTGCATTTTTTTAGAGTTAATCGTCAAACATCTCGGGTTTCCTTTGAGATTTAGTCCGCAATATTTGCGATTTCAGTCATTTTTAGTGCATACCAAAACGAGTTGATTTAGGACTGAAATCTTTCCAAGAAGTTTCCTCTTTTCGAAAATACCAACATTATGGCCTTGATGAATTTGTTAGTGACATAGAGCTTTCTCTTCCTACAGCAGCCGAAACTTATTTGAAACAGCCTGGATACCGTTTTTGAAATTTTAGGGTGGTCCCAATAGTGCAACGCTATTTTCTCACTGTCCTTTTAAAATGCTGTAACTGACAATTCACGAAGCTGCTTGTGCTAATAAATTTTGGGTTGTATTTTCTGAATTGATAAGATTGTGAAAGAATAAAAACTTTAGATATGGCAAGTATATATTTACACGAGTTTTTTTGAAAGGGTAGTGTAGTTATTAAGTCCTACATTACCAGTCTTTTTCAGGACAGAGCCTTTTTTGGGGTCATGAGATGCATTGCTTTGGTTATGCGATTATTCAGCTTCTCATATGATACTTCAAAGCATGACTTTGATATAGTAGATGGAACTCAATTCAAATTCATATTTCTACGCACATGGGGCGACTTACCCAGTAACTTTCCTCTTTGAGCTAATCAATTAGGGACGTTGAATAGTTCGGGCTCTTGTCCTGACCGTCCATTATCGTGCTTTCTGCGATGATGAGAGCTTGCTGAAGAGGAAAAAAACACAAATTCCTGAAACCCCTGCTCAATTTCCAACGCATAGATTTATAAATTGTATCTGATGCTCTTTATATTGTCTTGCTGTGATGTATCGTGAGCACACTTTATTATCTACGACGATACGTTTTGTATTTTTTCCGATAAAGTTGATTGTATTCGATCTTTTTTTCAGCAAAGATAAGCTTCCTTGGCGATATTCTATGGTGCTGGATACTGAAACTGTCGATGAACTCTATATCACCTACTGAAATACTTTGTGTTGTACTATTACACTTAGCAGACAAACTTGGGCGTATATATCGCCGAGCGTTGAACAATTCTATGACAAAATCATATTTTCTGATTTTCTATTGCGTTGAGTCCACTGGCCTACTTCGACTCCGATTTGCGGTACTCCAGGGTTATTCGTGAACTTTGCGTGTCATGCTCTTACATGCCCAATATCGGACTAGTGATTGATTCTGCTTTTAGCTAAGTCGATACGAATATTCACCGAACCTAATAGTATTGGGTCCGTCAAATGCTGTATTTGATCAGATGTACTCCTTCTGCCATCTGAAGCACATATTTTGACGCATCCATTAACATATTAGGACATACTATATATTGACTCTGAACTCTCCTTATCGTGTTCATTTTGCGTCTGACATAATTTCTAGAGTACCGAAGCTCTTTGAGTATCTGCGCTCCGTGGTCCAATGTCCAATGAATATTTTTCAATGTCTAGTACGTCTAATATGTACTGCATGCCTCATATTGATAGATTCCTAGGGGTGAGCAGTATGCTTCGGAAGTGTCGAATTTGTCTTCGGAAAATCTGAGATTTTGCATAAATATCCAAATGAATGTCTGGCCATGTTCAATTATTGTCTGACCAAGTTCAATGAATGCCAGGAACATGTCCAATATACCTCATAAGATCTAATATACCCATACCAGCAGACATTTGCCTCATCAGCTCACTGCGATCACACAAATCGAGGCACCCACCGAGACTCCACACATATGTCGCTCAATCAGCCAAAAAGAAGGCTCGGGCTAATGCCATTAGTTCTTTCACGGGAACTCCCAACATGCTATGGCATACATCTCGTGGCTGCGACATCGCAGTGGATCTTTGCCCTCCCCATCAGCAGACTTTCCCGCACCCGAGAAACGTCACCTTCACAAACCGCGGGGGGATTTTAAAGTAGATACATTGCCAAAACTCTCAATCCCCAAACTCCCAACCCCCAAAGCCCCATCAGAAACAACCCGGCCCCAGCGACGGGTCACGTGCCTCACGGCCTGCATACGCGGCCCGCGCCCTTCGCCAGCGCCCCAACCATCAACTTCACCAGCGCCTAACCACCCCAAAAGGCGCTACAGTCCGCCTACAGCCTGCACCAACCGCCCCCCAAAACGCCGCAGAACCCCCCAAAAACTCTCTCTCGTTCCTCCCAGACCCCCCGAAATCACACTAGACCACCCCGAAAACCCAGATGGTCTCCGTCACGCTCCTCACGTCGGGCGCTCCGCGCAACGCGTGCAAGGCCACAATGCTTGATTTTGACGGCGAGATCCGCGTGTTGGCAGACCCCGGGTGGGACGGACTGGACCCCCGCGACGTGCTCTTCTTGGAAAAGCACCTCGGCGCCGTGGACCTCATGGTGCTCTCGCAGTCCACGCCCGAGCACATCGGCGCGTACGTGCTTCTCTGCGTGCACTTCCCCATGCTCATGGCCGCCATCCCCGTGTACGCCACGGTGGCCGTCAGCCAGTTGGCGCGTGTCGCCACCGTCGAGTTCTACCGCGCGCGCGGCGTGTTGGGCCCCGTGGCCCTGGCGCTCGTGGAGGTGGGCGACGTGGACGAGTGGCTCGACAAGGTGGTGCTGGTCAAGTACCGCCAGAACATGGCCATGCTTGAGAACCGGCTCACGGTGACCGCGTACAACTCCGGGCACACGTTGGGCGGTGCGTTCTGGCTCCTCGCGCGGCGTGCGGAGCGCGTCGTGTACGCGCCCAGCTGGAACCACCTGCGCGACTCGTTCTTGAACAGCGCGGGCTTCCTCTCGCCCAGCACGGGCGCGCCAGAGCCGGCGCTCGTGCGGCCCACGGCGCTCGTCACGGGCGCGGGCGTGGGCTCGTCCATGCCGCACCAGCGGCGCGCGGAGAAGTTCTTGCTGCTCGTGGACGCGACGTTGGCCAACGGCGGCGCGGTGCTCTTGCCCGTGGCCATCTCCGGCCGCTTTCTTGAGCTCGTGCACATTGTGGACGAGCACTTGGCGCGGCTCCCGGGCGCCGCGGTGCCGGTGTACTTCCTCCTGTACTCGGGCACCAAGGTGTTGAGCTACGCGGGCAGCCTCCTCGACTGGATGTCCGCGCAACTCGCCAAGCAACACGAGGCCCAGGCCGCGGACGCCCGCGCGTACACGCAGGTGCCCTTCGAGCCGGCCAAGGTGGACTTGCTCCTGGACCCGCGCGAGCTCGTGCGGCTCCCGGGCCCGAAGATCGTGTTTGCCTCGGGCGTGGACCTCGCGCCGGGCGACCTCTCCGCACAGGCCATGCAGTGGCTCTGCCAGGACGAGAAGCTGACGCTCATTCTCACCGAGAAGACGCCGTGCGGCGCCAGCGACCCGGTGGCCGCGCGGCTTTACGCGCAGTGGCACGCGCTCGCGGCCCAGAAGAACGGCGGCCTGCCCGAGGACGGTGTGCCCGTGCCGCTCGAGCAGGCCGTGGCCACGGACTTGTGGCCCGCGGAGGAGCCCTTGGCCGGGCGCGAGCTCGCGGACTTCAAGGCCCGCGTGGCCGCTGCCCGCCGCCAGAAGCTCTTGGCGAAGGTGCGCGACACCAAGAACAAACACATCTTGGCCGCGGAGGACGACTCGCTGTCCGAAGACGAGCCTTCCAGCGAGGACGACGCCCCGGAGAAGCCTGCCGCCGCCGAGTCTGCCGCGCCCTCCGCCGCCGCCGCGCCTCTTCCTGCCGCAGACGTGCTCCCGGGCCACGAGGTATTCGTCGGCGACTACATCTCCGAGAGCTTACGCACGAACAAGCCCATCGACATCCGCGTGACCGTGCGCATGCGGCCCAAGCAGCTGATGTTCCCGATGCCCGTATCTGGCAAGAAGCGCAAGGTCGACGACTACGGCGAGGTCATAGACACCAAGGACTTCCTGCTGGCCGACGACAACTCGGCCAACAACAAGCTCATCAGCGAGAGCAAGCGCAAGTTCGAGCTCCATGACAAGGGCCGGTGGGGCGAGCGAGACGAACGCCGCCGCCGCGGGCCCCGCCACGGACAGGACCGCAAGCTGGCCGCCAGCAAGAACAAGCTCACCCCGCAGGAGGTCTTGAACAACGAGGTGCTTCAACGGAACCTCGACGCGCTCTTCCGGCCCGTGAAGCGCGTCACGCCGCACGACCTCGGGCGCCCGCTGCCGCCGCTCCAATTGCGGTGCGGGCTCTCGTTCGTCGACCTTGCGGGCCGGGTGGATGTGCGCTCGCTCGTGATGATCGTGTCTGTGTTGCGTCCGCAAAATGTTGTGTTGCTCCCGGACGCATCATGCTCGCCGGGCGCCGACCCACTCATGGACGGGCGGCGCTTGTTGCAGGCGGCGTTTTCCAAGCAGACACTGGAGCAGAAGAGCTCGGCCGCCAGCTCTGCGCATTTGGCCACGTCGCGGTTCGGCGCGCTCACTGCTGGCCTCGGGGGCACGCCCCGGAGCCAGAGCTCGGAGATGGCGGTGCGCGTGACGCAGCCCAATGTGGTGGAGCAGATTGGTGGCGACGGCGCCGGCAGGCTCAGGGAATTCGAAGTGCGGCTTGACGAGCAACTCGACGCGCTGCTTGTATGGCAGAAGCTCGCGGGCAACCACCGCATCACGAAAGTGCATGGTGAGTTGGGTGTCTACGAGCTGCAGCTCACGTTGAACAAGCAACACGCCGACACCTTGGCGCTCAGTAGCCAGTTCATCTTGACGCCCGTTTCGCTGGTGGAAGACAAGCTGCGCCAGCTGCCCGTGCTGGCGGATTCCGCCGGGTCGGGTGCCGGGTTCGGCTCCGGCTTGGCTATCGGGAATGTGCGGTTGCCGGAGCTCAAAAAGAAGTTGCTAGCGCTTGACATGGCCGCTGAGTTCAAGGGCGAGGGCATGCTCGTGGTGAACGACGAGGTGGCCATTCGGAAGACCACCACGGGCGCATACCAGGGAGAAGACACGGGCGACCTTGTGCTCGACGGGCACATCGGCCCGCTCTACTACAGAGTGCGGGACTGTATCAAGGAGATGCTTGCGTTTGTGTGAGTCCAGACCGCTGCACCCACGGCTCAGGCCCGAGGCTCCTGGTGTCAGGCTGAGGCTCCTGATTTTAGGTTGAGGCTCCTGGTTTTAGGTTGAGGCTCCTAGTGTCAGGTGTTCAGGCCCATGGGCAGCGCAGTACAGTCACGGGGCCAAGAAATCTGGCACCCTTGTGTTTGCAACGGTCGTCGTCTGAACGTTTGCCTCACATCGACCTGACTTACATTTGGCCAAGAATTGCATCGCTGGTGGTCTTGGAAGCGCACTGCAGCAGTAATGTTTCCTGTCTTGGACAGAACGAGATGGCCAACACCACACGAGCGCCACTTATAGAAAGCACGGCCCCTCATCTCATCGCAGAAGCGATCGTGCCATGGCGCAGACCCGATGCCGTGGGTGTGATTCGGGCTCTCGGGACATTCTGGGTGCTTTGCAATAATGCGCCAATGCCCGCGCGCATGTTGCAGCCGCAGCCACGGTGTTTGTATTTCTGCTTGAGTACAGGATATTCCAACTCAATGTCCTGTCCACAAGTGGTTCCCAACTGGTACAGTTGAGATATCGGATTCGACATGATGTACTAGCGTGTGGAAATAAACCTTTATTTAGGAAAAACTAAAACCACTTTTGTGTCAACTGACCTTCTAAAAAGATCTCTAGAGGGAATTCTCTTCCCTTCATATACTCGTCGTGCTATTTGGTTCCGGGTAAGTGGTGCGAACTTTAATGTCTCATTTGTCACATGATTAATTAGGGCTAAGCGTCTAGTTCTCACATTCCCCCCAATCATGGACGTTCATTCCACTGAGTTTAATGAGCTTCAAAAGTGTATCGGGCGCGAGAGATTTCGTAAACATGTCAGCGATGTTATCTTTAGTAGAAACATAGTCAACCTGTATCTTGTTTTCGCGAATCTTCTCTTGCACGTACGCTGTCCGGACTTCCTCATGTTTAACTCCTTCATGAAACCCAACATTGTTCACTGTAGATATCGTTCC